GTAAAATAACCAATACAAATGAAAAATAATAGCAACAATAAAAAATTCAATCAATAACACCATGGCAATATTTCTCCATTAAGACCTTGCTATTTTACCACAGCAAGTCCTGAATATCTCAACATAACTTTGGTCAGCGATTTTCCTAAACTGCTAGGCTCTGCCTCCCCCAGCTCTGGGATTTATATAAACATTTCAGCAGTTGGAGAAATCAATTTTTTACATTCATAGGAAAATATATTTTTCAAGTAAGCCCACGAATGAATTCTTCTTTAGACATATTATTCATTCATTCACTCATTCATTCATCTCATGTGTTTAAGAGCTCTTTCTGAATGAATGCCAGAATGCAAGAAGAGGGCATTGGATCCCATTATACCTGGTTGTGAGATTCCATGTGGTTGTTGTTAATTGAACTCAGGATCTCTGAAAGAGCAGCTCTTAGCTGGTGAGCCATCTTTCTAACTCCCATTCTTTAGAGTTTTTATAAGGTATGGTTTTGTATTTTTGACATACTTTCCAAAGAGACAAAGATTGAAGTATACTTTTAAATTGTATATTAATTATTTTAATAGTTCTGAGATTTTCCAACATGTAATTCTAATTTTAATGTAAATTGTAATTTATGTACTTTCTTGCAGTTTAAACCATTATCATGCCTTAAAGCATGATTTATCAATTATACAAGTAGATGTAAAACATGTTGGAAAATTACATGTTATTTGATAACCTGGGACACAAAATCTAAAGTATGATTTTGATTGTCCTCATCATGAGCTCATGATAATTAAATTACAGTGCAACTGTAAACCCATGAAACTCTTGTGATTTTATATTGTACAATGTGTCTCAGTAGAATTAGCTTTAAAGATCTAAGAGTATATTGACAAAGTGCCCTATTTGATGTCAAAATAAGAATGAAAATTCTGTGTAGATACAGCAGTTTTGAAGAAATAATAACATACTAATGTTATTTTCTTAGGAGAATATTTTTATACTATTCCAAGTTCCTTACATATGACTGGAATATCCTTTTTTTTGTCACCTCTGTTGTTTTATTTCTTGTCTCTATTGGGCATTAAAGCGAGATGCTTGAATTTAGAGAAAATTCCGGCTGCTTTAAAAATAATACTTATGAAAGAATCTCCTTTCATTTCTTTGTGGAAGTAGAACTATCTATAGACCACACATGTGAGGGGCTGGCAGCTCTCTGAGTAGTTTCACACTTGAGAGACAAGAAAGTTGCTAATGATTCAACTGTGGACAATTGAGACATACAAACACAGGGGGATATGGATTCTTTCCCCAGTAGAATAGAAACTACCTTGCTGCAAATAATAAGTTCTTAAAGATTAGTAAAAGCCAGATCTTCTATAGCAGATGTATTGTTCTTTTGAGCTTCTATAGGTTTCAAGTAAGTTTCCATGCAAAGGTTTTTTTAATCTTATTTTCTGAATATTATCAGAAGATAATTAATGCTGTCTATCTGTAACATCACAATCAACAATTTAGAATATTGTGTTCTAATTTGTGAGCTATTAACTTTCTAATCCTCCACATCTCATAGACAAGAGTATTATTTATATAATGTACAGAAATTTATATTATAATTACATTAATTATTATTGCATCTGGTAAGTACTATTATATTTTTATGGTTTAATACTAGATTCATATAGTACCTTAAAGATATTTGCACACTTATGCAAATGTAAAAACTACACAATTTAAGATTGAAATTTGTATATAATATATATAGTTTCCAATTAATTTAATAAAATAATATTACTTTTAAACAACTTAAAACTATTTTTCTTTAAGGATTCTAATAACATATTTTAAGAATTATTTTCTATGTTTCTTCCCTTTGTTTTCCATCCTGGGATATGTTCATAGTTCTTATTTTATTAAAGCTGAAACAATTTGTCATAGAAGCTCTTTTTATCACTGTGATGTGCTGACTTTAAAGTAGAATATCACATTTCTAACTTTGTCTCATTTACTCTGTGTTGCTGTTGTTGACTATAGGAATTACATGCATATTTATTATCAATAACAAATGTTATATTTCAGTAAGTGTTATGTGATATTTCTATTTCATTTGTCTTTTAATTTTCAACTATAAACTAGTCAATATGTGTTACCTTAGTGTATAGCTACATCTATATACATATATTAACATATATTTAAATTTCTACATGTAACAATTCATATTTAATATAATGTCTTATTTATTCATATGTGAAACATAAATGATATATTAATAATATATACATATTATATATGTTATTATGTATACTATACTATATATATACTTAATAATTTATAAAGGTTTTATAAAACAGTTGAGATCCTAATAGTATGTCTTGAGGTAATTTGTCTGCTTGCATAAACTGCTCTGTACCAGTGTATGAAGATAGCAAAATTTTGGTAATCTTTACTTCATTTGATAAGTTTTTCTGAGTTACTCTTTTTAACTGTAGTAAAATAAGGTTTTATGGTTGTGACTACTCTCACTTTATTCTTGTTCATGGGTGAACATGCATTCTGATAGTCACCTGGAATCTCAAAATGATTGTATAAGGATATTATATTTATTTAAATAGCTTGACTTGTGATGATACATAAGATTTACTATATAAATGATGCAAAATAAAATTTGAACATGTCAAATTCTTTTTGGGAGTAAACTTTTTTGGGTGAATATACTCAGAGTTATTAATATTGCAAATTAACATTTCATTTTTATCTAGAGGGCATGGATTTAATGACATAGGAAGGTTGGAGATAAGAGAGGAAATGGGGGAATCATCAAATTATACCTTAATATCAAAGTGAAAGGAGATAACTTTTAAAAAAGTCATTGATGCTTCCAAATGCATCTTTTCCTGTTACCTAGGATAGAGTGAAATCAGATTCACTGTTCTTCCAGAGGTCACTGACCTGGAACATACACAGGCACTAAGTGAGTGGGCTTATGATTATATAATGATCATCTCATTGTTGACACATCAATATCCATTGATATGGAACAGAATGCCAGGATTACCTATATACTGACTAGAAAATGTGAGGTACCAAATATATTCTTGAAGTTTCAAATCCCTTACAAGCTTTCTTAATATATAAAATATTCTTTGAATATGAAAACTGATTGTATGTTTTGCTTAATGGGGTAAACACATGTCCCATATTAAAACACATATATATGATAAAATTCAACACAGAAGTTGATTAGAGCAACTCTAATATTGTGTTAATATTCCTGTGTTTTATATTTAAAACAGCAAGATTAATGCTTTTGCAAAACACTTTTGTAGAAGTAGCTCAAATGTTAAATGCTAAAGAGAAACTACTGAAAATAGGTGAATACTTTGATAAGCATGAAATATGGAATTCATGTACTGTGATATATTGTGTAAATGTTTTGCTCATTTCACTGAGAGTTTTCAAACACAATTCAATGGCCACAGAAACAATAATGTTAAATCCTCAGAAGTTTTGCTTACAGTTTACATTTAGGAACATTGAGAAGCCCTCCTATCACAAAGAACTCTAGGTTTTGAACTTGTGTTCTCTTCTTAGAATGAATCTTTTTACACACCCACATATCTCATTAAATTACTTGACTATTTCATAGTCATAGTAGACCATATATAGTCCTTTAGTGGACATCTTTCATATGACAGACTGAATGATAACCCCTAGTGTTGTTTAAATCTTAATTTCTAGGATTCATACACATCAATTCATATGAAAATAGTGTGTTGACATGAGAGTCAGAGGAAGAGCATGAGAGATAAAATACCTCGGATTATCAGTTTTGGAAATATACACAATCAGGTGTTCTTTAAAGGTAGGAAGAAAGAAGAAACAGTGCTGAAAGTCAAATGCATAATGTTGTTGTTTTAGGAGAATACACTTATTATTAAAGTCAGTACAGTTTAGAGGCTTGAAGGGTTATTTGGCTACAAAGTGTTTCATCACTTAGATCCCCTATTAGGAGTATGGCCCCATAGTCATGTTGATTTGACCTTGGAAATCAGCTATGTCATACTTCTGACTTCCAAATTGAAAGTAAATGAATCTTCGTTAATTAAAAACACCAATTTTTCAGTAACTTTCCACAGTGATTGTAATAAAAACAGAAAGTTAATCCCATTTGTATTATAGCACTCACCATTCCCTTCTGTTCTCTGTTCTACTTTAATGTATATGTGCTAGTTATTCTGTTACTTATCAATAAGTGATTAGGTTGCTAACAGCACATCAGCTGCTTCAAGTCACGACACTGCTGATTTAAGTGATTCATCTTTTCAAAGGAATTAGCTCATAATAGTAAGTGATAGACATTTATAGGCTGTGTTAGAATGCATAGTTATACTGATATTTACCTTAACAAATATTGAATTGAAACTGGATTATATCAGCGGGAATTAGGGGAAGTTCTACCTTATCTTTTGAAAAGAAAATATACATACAGTTACAGGTTTTGCTGTTTCACACAATTTATTTTCTTTTTATAACGTACATTCTAGAGTGTTTTACTATTTTTATTTCTGACAATGTTGTTAGAATGCAAAAAGACAATTGAACAAAAATGTGAACCAAAAATTGTCATATAAAATGACTCTCATGATAATCACTCTTAAAACAAAGAACAGATAAAAAAATTGATCTATACATTTGACTTGGCTCAGGTTCCTCATATTAGATGACACTGGTCAAATGTGTCAGACATCTAGGCAAAAGATGAGAAAATATTCAAGGTAATATATTTGGATAGGGAGGTCAGTCTCAGTGTATAGATTTTTTAGCACAATATAGACTATTGATGACGTTTCATTTTTTAAATTTTTCTTCAACTACCACAGGGTAATCACTTTGTGTGTCATACTATGATGGTTCCCAGATCCTGGAAGAAATATGTTTAGGTATTTAATTTTTATGAAAATCTCATGAAAATATTTTGTAACAAGGAACTGCAGACTACTGAAAGCATGGATACAGGGAATCATACAGATGTGAAGGAATTTATACTCCTTGGCTTAACAGAAAATCCCAATTGGCAGGTTCCTCTCTTTTTGCTTTTCAGCATAATTTATTTAATAATTTTTGTGGGTAACTGGGGAATGATCTTCTTGATCTGGTTGAATGCTCACCTTCATACCCCAATGTACTTCTTTCTTAGTAACCTCTCTTTCTGTGACATCTGCTATTCTACAATCATTGCTCCTAAAATGCTCATCAATTTACTATCAGAACACAAGTCAATTAAGCTGATTGCTTGTATTCTGCAGAGTTTCCTTTTTGCAGTTTATGTAACCACAGAAGCCATCCTCCTGTCTATGATGGCCTATGATCGCTATGTGGCAATTGCAAACCCATTAATGTATACAGTGATTATGAAGTTCAGCATCTGCATTAACATGGTTCTTGCAAGTTACTTAGGTGGCCTCATTAATTCCTTGACTCACACAATAAGTCTACTGAGACTGGACTTCTGTGGTCCCAACATTGTGGATCACTTCTTCTGTGATATCCCTCCTCTGTTGAAGCTTTCATGTTCTGATGCACACATCAATGAGATGCTGCTTTTGATCTTCTCTGGCTTGATTGCTATTTTCACTTTCATCATTGTCATGGTTTCCTATATCCAAATTATCACTGCCATCCTGAGAATCCGCTCAGCTGAGGGGAGACGTAAAGCCTTCTCCACCTGTGCCTCACATCTGACAGCTGTGACATTATTTTATGGTTCTGGGACATTTAGCTATATCCAGCCAAGCTCTCAGTACTCCATGGAACAGGAAAAAGTCTCTGCTGTGTTTTACACCTTGATTATCCCCATGCTGAATCCGCTGATTTACAGCCTGAGGAACAAGGATGTTAAGGAAGCAACAAAGAGGTTATTTTGTCGGGGAAGTAATACTTTTTGAGTCTGTCATTTCTCTTGCTTTGAAATCTTTATGTTTATTGAATCATCAATGCATCTCTTGGATGAAGCCTACTTGGTTGTCTTAAATGATCTTTCTGATATATTCTTGGATTTTGTTTATAAGAATCTTACTGAGTATTTTTCCATCTATATTCAGAAACGAAATTGATCTGAAATTCTCTTTCTTTGTTGGGCCTTTGTGTGGTATCAGAGTTACCAGGGTTCCATAGAATGAATTAGGTATTCTTCCTTCTGTGTTGGGAATTTGGCTTGTGCTTCCTAGGAATTTACAAACCAAATCCAAGAAAACATCACAAAGATTATTTACCATGATCAAGTATGCTTCATCCCAGGGATGCAGAGATGGTTCAATATACAGAAATCCACCAACCTAATCTATTATATAAACAAACTCAACAAAAAAAATCACATGGTTGTTTATTATATGCTGAAAAATCCTTTGACAAAATAGAATTCCACTTTATGTTAAAAGTCTTGGAGAGATCAGGATTAAAGGCACATACCTAAACTTAATAGAAGCACCAGCAATCCAACAGCCAAGAGCATTTTAAATGGAGAGAAACTTGAAGTAATCCCACCAAAATCAGAGACAAGGCTGCCCATTCTCTCCCTATTTATTTAATATAGTAATCAAAGTTTTAGCTAGAGCAATTAGAATAATCAAACTTACATTGTTAAATTGTGTCAATCATTTAAAAGAATTAGATAAAATTTTAAAGCAAAAATATTTGAGAAAATTTTATTTATTAAATACTACATTATCTCAGATTTTTTTTTAATTTTCTAGTGGCATGACTTTTATAGATCCTTTTACTTGTGTATATATAAAGTCTCTATAAAAGTTGAAATTATTATCTGTCAGTTTGTTTATAATTTTAATAGTGTGGTAACTGTCTGCATAAATGTAAAGTTCAGTCTTTACAGTTTTATATAAATAAAATTTCTGAAATCATTTCATTGTTTCAAATGCTACGTCATACAAATTTAACTAGCATGTGGAAATAACAGAAGGAAGGAAAAGAACATTTTGAGTTTAACAAAATATAGCAGTTTAGTGTTGTATGTTGCTTTAAACTAAAGATGTCATTAATATCTGATTATGACTAGCTAAACAAGATCCTGAGAAATAGGCCAAGTAACAAGGGTAAAACCAAATACTGTTATTCACTTAAATGACGTAGCAATAATAAAATACTCCTGAAAAACATCTCTTATACTCATAAGTCAATGCCTTGATTAGCCATTCTCAGAAAAGCTTCACCCAGAATCAGATGAGAGTTCCTGGCCACCCCATCTCCACTTCCCTTTATTTTAGAGAAGGTGCTTCCCACTCATCCATTCCCCTTCCCTGTGGCATCAAGTTTCTACACAGTTGAGTGCAGCCTTTCCCACTGAGGCCAGACAAGACTGTCCTCTGCTACATCTATAGTGGGAGCTACAAACCAGCCCATGTATGCTCTTTGGTTGGTGGCTTAGAATCTAAGAGCTCTGAGGGATTAGTTGATACTGTTGTTCTTCCTATAGAGTTTCAATCCCCTTCAGCTCCTCTAATCCTTTCCCTAACTCTTCCATAAGGGTCCCTGACATCAGTCCAATGGTTGGTTGTAAGAATCTGCACCTGTCTCAGTCAGCTGCTGGTAAAGTCTCTCTAGGTTCTTGTCTGCAAACACAACATGGCATCAGTAATAGTGTAGTGTTTTGTTGCCTGCACATGGTATGGATCCCAAGTTGGGCCAGTCAGTGGACCTTTCCTTTAGTCTTTGCTCCATTTTTGTCTCTGCATTTCCTTTAGACAGGAACAATTCTGGGTCAAGAATTTTGAAAATGGATGGGTGGCTCAATGTCTCAAATTGTGGCCATGTCTAACTATTGGATATGGTCTCCTGAGTGAGGTAACACAGATTCAAAAGGATGTACATTGTATATACTCACTAATGAGTGGATGGTAGCCAAGAAGTTAAAAATACCCATAATACAACTCACAGATTATATGAAGCTTAAAAATAATTAAGGCCCAAGTCCAGATACTTCAATCCCACTTAGAAAGGGGAAGAAAATAATCACAAGAGGCAGAGAGAGGGAGAAGCCTGGGTGGGAGAGGGAAGGGAGAGGGTAAAAGGGCAGCAGGATCTGGTATGTGGGGTTGACAGGACAGAAGCCCAGAGGGCCAGGAGAATGAATGGAAATAAGCAGCAGTTTGGGATGAGGGTGGTGGGGGATGGACCTCCAGTAAGTCCCAGATATCAGGGGTGGGACAGCCTCTCCGGACCCAATTGGGATAACCTTAGCCAAAATGCTCAACAGTGGGAAGAATACAGTTGAGGAAGTATCCCTCTGGTATATTAAATGTAATAGAACAGATAATAGGGAACTTGAACTCATTGATAACAATGAGTTCAACTCATTGTTACAAGAAGTTACAAGAGATAACTTCCAGAACAGAACAGAAATGGCTCAGACTCTATGATCAACAACTGATAAATGAGACCTCATGAAACTGAGAAACTTGGATAAGGCAAATGACATAGTCAATAAGGTACAACATCACCCTACAGATTAGGAAAGTATCTTCACCAATCCTATATCTGAGCAAGGGATAATGTAAAAAATTTATAAAGAACTCAAGAATCTAGACACCAACAATTCAAATAATCCAAATAAAGAAAAAAATAGAGTACAGAGCTCCTGATCATCAAGAACAGTGGTTGGTTTTGGTAATGATTCTCTTAAGTTTGAAACCTTTTATATGGATTGTGCTGTTCCCCAGGTAAATACTGTCTTGCTCTACATTTTATATCTTGTATTATAAGAATTTTAATTAAAATGATTCGCCTCCTTTAAGAAGAGTAGGGTAGAGAGGAAGAAGAGAATTCTCAACAGAGGAATCTCTAATGACTGAGAAACACTTAAAGATATGTTCAATGTCCTTAGCCACCAGGGAAATGCAAATCAAAACAAAACAAGATATCTCACACATGTCTGAGTGGCTATGACCATAAATTCAAGTGATAGCATATGCAAGGCAGAATGTGTAGCATGCATAACATTCATCCATAGCTGGGAGATTGCACACTTGTACAACCACTTTAGAAATCAATTTGGAAGATTCTCAAAAAACTGGAAATGATTCTACCTCAATTCCTAGCTATACCACTCCTGGGTCTTAACCCTTTCATTTTTTAAAACTTTAACAAAATTAAGTATAATATTGAACAAAACTATCACTATTGAGGTGAAGAAACAAACCAACAGAACAAAAGGAAGCCAATAGGAGGTACAAGAATCAAAATTAACTTATTTGCTCACTTAGGAACCTCATAAAAACACTAAACTGGAAGACTTGATACGTTGGCAGAGGATTTCATCAGACCGATGCAGGCCCCGCACATGCTGATTCAATCTCTGTAAGTTCTTATGATCTTTGCTCATGTTGGTTTAGAATGACAGTTTTCCTGTGTTCTCTCTTTCCTCTGGCTCGAACAATCTCTTCTTCCAGTGCCTCTCTCTCACCTCACCACCTCATTCCTCTGTCCTCCCTTTCTCTTCAGGAAATGGGAAGCCTTCCATGATTATCAACCAACCTTTGCAAATAAAGTTGCAATAAGACTAGGTGCATCTTTGTGTATTGTGGCTAGACAAACCTGCCCATTTAGAGAAAAGTGATCTGAAGGTAGACAACACAGTCAGACTTTTGTCTTTTACTTTTAGGAGTCCCACATGAAAACCAAGCTGCAGCACTGTTTCTTATGTGTAAACGGTCTTGGTTCGTCCCATATCTAGTCTCTGTCAGTTAAAGCTCCGTGGAACACTATGGGCTCATGGTAGCTTGTTTTGTATGTTTTCTTCATGTGTCCTGTCTGGCTCCTTTAATCCTTCCTCTTGCTAATCCTTAGGATTCTCCAAGCTCTGTTAAATATTTGGCTATTTGTCTCTGCATATGTTTCCATCAGTTGTTGTGTGAAGCCTTTCAGAAGAGAGTTAAGCTATGTGTCTATCTCCGAGTATAGAGGAATAACATTGATAGTGTGCTGTGTGGGCTTTCTCTGATGGCATGAGTCTCAAGCTATGCCAGTCATTGGTTGGCCATTCCCTCAGGTTCTGCTCCATTTTTTCCCATACATATCTTATAAACAAGAGTATTTACAGGTAGAAGTTTTTGTGGCTGGTTTGTTGTCTCAGTGGGATTTTTTTTTTTTTTTTTGGTTACAGGAAATGGTAACTTTGGGTTTCATATACATCATTGCTAGACTTAGGTATAGTCACCTTCGTGATTCCTGGGTGTTTCCATTGTCCTAGTTTATCCTTACAATCTTTATACAACTTCGTTTTGCACTGCTTGGGTAACCCAAGAACTTGAGGCTAAGTAGCTCATGGACCTAAGGGGACACCAAATAATATTGCTCTAAAAAGAAAAAAAATAAAGTTATAAAATGACTCATAATCAGGTTTTCTATACTTATAAATCTGTGACTTGTTTAGCTAATTTCAGACAGGCTTCTTAATGCAGCAGGCAGGAAGAAATATAAAGACCCACAGCTGGAATTACACAGACAGTGAGAGATTTTGGAGCTGTCAGCCATGAACTGCCTCCATCAAATCATATACCATAAAGCTCAGGAAATCCCAATGCGAATATACATTACACATTGTGTGCCTTAATATATCTCACGTTAGCTATTAACATGATCCAAATGTATCAGGGTGTTTTAGTAGAAATACAAATTACATTTACGTCATCAGTTCTATGTTTCATTAGCTATGTTTTTTTTCATTATATTTATTTTAGATTTTTATGTCCACAGTAAAATTTATACTTAAATGTAACATTCTTCTAATAATTTACCATTTTTATTATATTTTTATAAACAATTAAATGATAAGTGTTTAAAACCTATAGACCTTTTAGTTTGTATGCTTATATGAAGAAAAATCTGGGTAGAAAATGTGACAATTCTCTAGTCTCAAATATTCCACTATTGG